TCCACTAAGGTATACAGTAATTTTTTGTTTGGATACATTTTGCACCTTTGCCAACACTCGTTGCGTGACTATCCACAGTACCATTCTGTTGTTGACTGGATTCCGTGATAGAGCATCTTCTTACCTCATGTGTTTTGCTTTTAATTCAAGGAATCCTCTTCACCTTCAGTGTAAGAACATTATATACTGTATATCTTAAACATTAATTTCCTACAGAAATTTTAAATACAATATTCTTAATACGGTAAACTCTTGTTATTCGCAGGTTTGCGATTTCGACTACAGTAGAACATCGATTTAAGGCGATTCAATTTAAGATTATTGATTTAAAGCGACACCCACAATTAAGGACAATGTTTTAATTTAAAGCAAATCTTTACTATTTTGTGCGAGTCAATCTGGCGCCTCATATTTTAAAATTTGTGTCTAATGTTTCTCTGGGCATGCTACACTGTCCTTAGGGCAAAGCTGTACTGTACATGTACTCAAAATAATGTACTAAATGATTACTAAAATTTTTGTCTAGTGCAAACTATAGAATGATTATATTAAAATTAATCACTATCTTATAAGAATTCCAGCAATGTAAATTATATTTTCCCAGGTCACTTCTGTGACATTTTATAAACAGAAAACAAAAACTCAATCTAAAGGACAAATAAAACAAATAAATACTTCACTAGACCTTTGGTGCCAACTGTCAAACGTGTCACGATCATCTCCCCTTCCTTTCTCCCTCCCTCCCCCCCTCCCAGCCAAGGTTTGGTGGTTATACAGTAGGCTTCAAGTTTTTATCTTGCATAATATCACAGACTAAAGTTTGGAGAATATGATTTGCATTGCTAGAATCCTTGCAAGACAGCGAATAATTTGAAGATAAACGTCATATATTTTGCACGATAAAATTTTTAGCCTTTTAACCCTCAAGCCCTGGGTTAGGGTCCTGCGGGGTTAAATTGAGAAACAAATAAACTTTATAAAAAAAAAAAAAAAAGCGGAAAAATAGGCAGATGTTCTGGAACGTCACCCGGGGCCTAAGGGTTAATAAAATTAGTTAGAACTAAAATTTGTATGTGTAATGCAAACTATAGCATGTTTATATTCAAACTAATCACTATCTTATAAGAATTCCAGAAATGTTAATTATATTCTCCCACGTCAGTTTAGTGACATTTTATAAGAGAAAAACTTAGTCACTCTTAAGGACAGATTAAAAAATAAGCACTAGACCTTGGCATCAACTGTCAAACATATCACCTCACCTCCCCCCATCTTCCCAGCCAGTAAACAGACCATTTCATGTCCCATAATTTTAGCGGTGTTGATTTATGAGTGTTTGTTTTAACATAATACTACAAAAAACAATGTTTTGTTTATTCTAAGAGATGGGCTGAGGTGCATCTGGGTAGACTCTCTTTTTAGTATTTTGTTTCTCAAGTACCAAACTAAATTATTCCATTGAAACATCACTTAGATTTAGTGAGAATTCGGTTTAAAACGACCTCTCTTGGAACGTATCTTGCGCTATATCGACGTTCTACTGTACTTGCGGTAAGCAGGTGGTGGATAGCTTATGAGCCTCTCTCGCAGTGCAACGAGTCGCCCTCATTTGCCCGCAACTCTCCTCTCCCTTGTTTGCGCATGAGACGCAGCATATCTTGTGTTGTGCTCAAAACTTTAGTGTTTCTGTGTGAAATGGACCCTAAAAGATTGCTAGTGGAGTGAAATGTAAAAGGCAGAAGTCAGTGATGACCCTGAATTATTTTTTAAGTTAAAAGAGGGAATGAGTGCTGCCGCGGCTGGTCGGTTGATAGGTATACAGTGGTCCCTCCATTAACGAGCACAATTGGTTCCACAGAGTCACTCGTTAACTGAATCTATTATTTCAATGGGATATTGGGTATTTGGTTCCAACTCACAGAAAACGTACATACAAAGTACTGTATACCGGTAATAGAATTAACAGAACATTAAATATAAACAAAATACAATACTGTACAGTATACTGTACTGTACAATAATAAATAAAAAACAGTAAGATATTTTAACACTTAATTTGAGGTGTGTATGTACGGTAGTGTTACTGGTTGAGTTGAAAGGTGAAGGAGGAGGATAATGTCAGGAGCCTCTGGAGAGATAGATTCTCTAACATGAAAATCCTCTGTCCTTTTTGGAGAGGAAGACCGATAATAATTTCACCAATAAAATTTTAAGTTCACTACCTGTAATTACAGATTATTTTATTTAAATCAACACTGCACTGTATATTATCAATGTGTTAACTAAATTTCAGAATGACCAATAATTTTAATGTAAAAATGCAAAAAAATTCAAGAGCACAACATACTCGATGTTTACTCCACTGGAAACAAAGGGGAACATTGAACTGATTTCTGGCGTACAAGTCGATCAGCTGATGCGTAAACCAAAACGTGATTCTTGTCAGGCTATCGTTAATAGAATTTGTACTCGTTAATCGAACTGAAAGTCCTTACGGGAACTAACTCGTTAGCTGAAATCTCGTTAATGGAGGGACCACTGTACAACAGTGCACTAAGGTAGTATAAGTTGCAATTCGTGGTTTTTGCCTATTCGTGCCATTTCTTGGAACCTAGCCCCTGTGAATAACAAGGGTTTACTGTACACAGTGTACTATATCACTAAATAAGTTTTTAAAGGTGTGATAAATAAATATCCAATGAAGACAGTCTATCACCTGATGAAAATGAGGTTTTCTACCCTCAATAAATAAACACAAGTGGCATGTTGGCTGCTAGAAGATATTATACTGCATACAGTATTAATATTTAATATTTTATTGCTTCCTGCAAACAGTTGAGGGCACAAATACGTAATAAGTGAATGACCATGGATTACTGTACTATTAATGGTGCTCAATATATTGTATAATGTTATCAGACATGATCATTATTTAATATATTTTGTAAACAGTGAAGTAAATGTCTAGATTTAAAAGACTGGTGGCATTAAAGGACAACCCTCCTCCCTTATCAGCCCGTTAATTCCAGGTTTTACTGTACAGTCAACCCTCACTTTACGCGGTCCCACATTCCGCGTTTCCACGTTTACGCGGTGCCCTGCCAGAACCCAGGATGCTCACATTCCGCGGTGGGTGTACCCCTTTACACGGGTGAAGTATAATTTTTTTATTTAGCTCATAAAATTCATACAAATTATCCGGCCAGAATATAATTTACATTGCTGGAATTCTTACAATTTGATGATCATTTTGAATATAAACATCATAGATTTTGCATTAGACATACAAATTTTAGATATAATGTTTACTCTGAGTAAATATGTTATCTTTTGTGCAAAATATATGACATTTATATTCAAAATATTCCTGGTCTTACAAGGAATCCAGCAATGTCAATTATATTATCCTAACTTTAGTTTGAGGTATTATTTATTACTATACCTGATTTTCCCCCCAAAATTTCTCAGAGGGAAGAGCCAGTGAGTGTAGTGTGAGAAGAGGGGGAGGGAGTGGAGTCCATTATTTGAATGGACATTAACTTGGCGACTGTATTTCTCTATTTCTCTTAAGTATTAATTGTGTGCATGTACCATCATAAAGTTAAGATGTTATTTTTACTAGAACATAGGTATTGTGTTGGAAAAAGTGGAGTTTGGGGGTCAGCTGGTCTCTATTTCATTTAATCCCATATGTTATGTTATTCACTTTACACGTTTCTCACTTTCCGCGGTACCCTGTGGGTTACATTAACCGCGTAAAGTGAGGGTTGACTGTATTTGTATGTCCAAGTATTGTATACAAATGATGAATTTTGGTGGTAAAAACTGCTATATGAATAAGTGAGTACTGTTTAAGTATAGCGATTTGTACGAATAATGAGAACTCCCGGTATTGTAAATCAACCCTGAGCATGGTAACAGCAAGTTCTGCAAACTGGAACATTACCTCAATTAAAGTCCTCCCTAATATATCCTCCAGAAAATATATAGTGTAAGGTAACTGCTGGGCAGTAGCTTGAACGCTGCAATATGCTGAAATTTCCTAATTTGGTCTAATCTTTCTCATAAGGATCATTGCTACTCCATAGTTTTCATGAATAATAATGGGAAAAAGTAAAAATTTTAGGGGTAGTCCTTTTAAAAAATTCTTTACACTAAAATAAAGTCAGGGCTAGTCAATATTCCCAGACCTTACACCATATACAGAAAAATCCCAATACTTTGGCAAGGCCTCAGCCTCATACGTACAGTAGGATCGCAGAGTATGTCACCCCTGAACCGCCATTGCGCTTGGGTCTCGTTCTTGAGTAAGCACCTCTCACAAGCTCACCTTGTTTATTGCTTGTCTGTGCTCATTTGAGAGAAAAAATCATTACAATACCCTAATGTGGCTTAGAAATAAAGAAAATGTAATATAAAACTAACTCCTGCACACAAAATGTTTATCCCCCTTTATGTTTTTACCTTATGATAATTGAATTTTTTACACAGCTGTATGAAAGATTGTAAGTGCATGTAAGAGTAGTAATAACAAATCTACCCCAAATTATGAGTTTAAAATTAACCATAACATAACTCACACTCAGCCTTACTAGCTCTAGCTTCCTTCTCTTTCTTGCACTGGTTCCATGAATATCTCTCAGGTGTTAGCGCTGGTAAAGTTTTTTCTTTACTGGTGAATTTTACTGCAATAATGGCACCCTAAGAGGAAAATTAGTGGCAGTGAGTGTGAGAAAAAGAAAAAAGTGCATACTGTGAGAACTTTTGAAGAAAAATTCAAGATATTGGACTTACTATGGAGTGGTGTATTGAACTTTGAGTTGCACATTGGTTACCTAAGTGAAAAAAGGGGTTATACGTATATACACGGGGGGAGGGACCCGAATATATATATGAATTAGCAGTAATGCAGGGAACACAGGAATGTAACCCCAGTGCACTCTGAGAACCTACTGTACTGTACTGTAGTGTAGTGTACTAGAAGGTAGATTTAGAAAGAATATTTTTCATCCTTTACTAACATTCTACAGTACTGTATATCCTTTAGACCCATCAATGACACTGGAAATATTCTCATTCTCTCTTTCTCATTAAAATCACTAAATCACTTTTATAAAATCTTGGTTGAACTCTTCTTGCTTTGCGAGGCAGGACACATTCTCTACACTCTTTTACCTTGTACACTTTAGATATACTTTGTTCCCATTGTACACAAACTTGAACTATGACAAATTCCTCAAGTATCCACTCATGATATTTACAGATTAACATGTGAGATATAGTTATGGACAAAAAATAATTTGCCAGGGAAGGATGAAGGTGGTGTATGAGAGGATAGGGGTAGATGGAGACTTGGAAGTGTAAATAACTTAATACACTAAAACCCCACAAAAATGCTGTATTTTTTTTGTTTGAGGAGACTTTTCACTGCCATTCCAATGTTACGATGCCAAGTCTCCACCTAAACCTCTACCCTCCCGTAGGCCACTTCCCTCCCTGCCAAGTTCTTTTTGTCTATAAGTGTACATCTTCATATATAAACCATCAACAAACATCATCTTTCATCAATAATAATAATAAAACTAGAGGCACTAATTTTTTTCAGTCTTCAATCACCTAGAAGCTGTACCTTAACATTCTTGCTCAGTGTGATAGTACCGTATAAAATATTTTGAAGCTGTAAAATCATGAACAAGACTGAGGAGTTGGAGAAAAACTATAATATACAGGATATACAGTACAGTATATAGACAGTATAAAACTTTCTCAGCTCCTCACAGTTTTGTTTAGAATTTAATTGTTGCAAGATATTTTATATATTATTTTCCCTTAAATAAAAACTATCCGGTGTACTGTAGCTTGAATGTGGCCATAATTATATGTATATGCAATTCAAAATATTTATCTTGTTTTTTAATATTACTCATATCTGTTTATTCACAGTGAAGAAAAAACTTGCATCTTACAAGGATATTATACACATTCTTTGTGAAAATCTATTTCTTGACTTTTCTCATACATAATGAAAAATATGACCTATAAAGATTTCTAATAACCTGACTATTCATATATTTTATCAAACTCTACTTTTTGCCCAAGCTTATTGATGGACATTCTCCAAATCAAGGTTGAGCTTGTAAAAAAATGAACCAAAGTATTTCTCTTTGCAAAATAAAATAAAAATAATATATTGAAAAACTTATAAGAAGAAAACAAATGTTAAATAAGAGTTTGTATCATAGTATAATGACTATTTAAACAAGTGACATTTACAAGCTCATCCACCACCCTGTCCAGTCGCACTCCTAGAAAAATTAGTTTTCTGTACATGGGGTAATATACACACACTATATACACTAACACATTAAGGCAACATATAGTGATATCAAATTTAACTACAAGGATTTCATCTTATACCTAATGCATAGAACAAAGCATCATTGTTTGACTGCTAAGCTTTTAATGTGGTATATCTCAATGACTTGGAATTATAATAATGTACAAAAGACCTTGGGGGAAATATTGTATAACTTGGATTAAATGCCTGTTGATGAATCATGGACATGTAATCAACTTGTAATGTAATCTGAGGCCTGGTTGGTTCTGAACACCATACTGACAGCAGTACCTGAGAGATAGTCTGAAGATGCACCTGTCAATTATAAGCTATTTCTCTGTATTTAAGAATTTAAACAAGCTGTACAGCCTGGCCATTTTCTACATTTATAAGAGTAATCTAGTAAGGTTTGAACTTGTCTTACAGTAAATAGGAAACATTATATGTGGCTGGGATTCTATCAAATTTTGACCGTCAACTTCTTGGGACACAGATTCAGTCCTTTAATTGGGTTTCCAGAACATTATGTCCTACTTTTTATATTGTTACTACAAATTAAGAGTATAGTATCTTTTTATACCCTTTCACGCATTTTCAAGAACCAATTGGCATACTGATATTGTATATAAACTGGTACCATTCATATTTTTTTAATCTTGAGAGGAAGCTACCAAAAAGCAACAGTGTACTTGTAGCATGATGTAAGGAATGGTTCCCTAACACTGGTCCCATGTACATACTGATGAGACTTCACAGTTGCTTCCATGAAAACTGATCTTAATACCATGAGGTGTGATGATGTGCACTCCTGAGTAAATTTCGAAGGTACAAAACTTGATTGAAATTTAACAAACACCCAGAATAAGAATGCTATCTGGTGTTGCATTGTGCATAGACAGCTATAGTATCAAGGATCAGACAGCTATAGTATCAAGGATCAGACAGCTATAGTATCAAGGATCAAACAGCCATAGTATCAAATATAAGACAGCTATAGCATCAAGGATCAGATAGCTATAGGATCAAAATTCAGACAGCTATATCATCGAGGATTTCATAACTGGGAACCAAATTACTGTCCCTTCTTGTAGCCCATATGCCAGATGACAGGAAAAAAAAAAAATATATATATATATACATATGAAGCTGTCAAGTGGAGTTATAGACGAAGACAACTCTTCATTTCTTTTAAAATATGCTATATTCCTTAAGGTCTGTAAGAGTTGAACTTGCTAAAGGGGATGGATAGATGATCACCCTCAACTCTCATATAACTGTTCTTAATACTGGACAACTGTAAATTTGTCTTGATGAGGAATAGGTCCCCAAAATACTTTTTATGGTATCTTGAAACAAAATGCCAATTGAGAGGACACTCCCATTATTACTGTGAACAAAAGACCACAGAAACTGAAACACTGATTAAAAAAAAAAAAGTACTCCTCTTTTAACACTGAATTCCAGTACTGATTAGCATGAACTAGAATATATATCTATATACGTATATTAATAGACTTGAACTACTTGTTATTTTACTGAAAGACATATTCAATCTGATAACTACATGAGGCACATTTCAATAGTGTAATAATAACTTTTCTGGGGTGGAATTGTTTTCTGATTACATGTTTTTGTGCAATAAATACTTTTTGATTTTTCACAATAAAATATTTGTTCCTGCCTTCACCCACTACAGTTGTCTACACAGAAGATAAATGTATTGTCACATGTAGAGGAACATTTTCCTTGCACCACATGCAAGTAAATAATAGTTTTCTGAAAATGTAGTAACATCATTGGCATTGGGAATAATGTGAATCCAAGTCTGTACTAAGTACCATATTAAGTTTGTCAGACAAGGAATACTCCCTTCAGATTGGTTGCATCTGAGAAAGTTTAGCACAGGGTTAAAAACACGCACACCATTATACCACAAACAAGTATACCACAGTAAATTAAATACATTTCTTTGGCTGGTGCTGACAAAACTCAGTCCTGGAAAACAAAACAGAGAAGTTTTCCAGTTTGGATAAAATCTCAGCACCTTCCTCTATTATCTTATACAACCACTGTCATCAGAAATAATCACCTGTGCAATGGTGGTGCAAGAATTTCCAGCTTACTCTTAGTCTGCAATTTACAGTTATTCACCAATTTGTATATAATGGTATGGCCTTTGACCTCTGCTGGAACAAGGCTACAACTCAATCTGCTGAATCTATATCTACATACATATCAGGAAAATGGTACAGGGGAAGACAAGACTATTTTCTTCAGGGCCCATATTGTATGCTGCAGGAGGTCCCCTTAAATACAAGAGGACAAATTTGTAGCTCCTTAAATACAAGCATGATTTGCAAACACAGGTACTGTGGCCGAATATTAGCTGCCACATTGAAAATATGATGACCAATTCCCTATCTCAACCACATTATTGTTTTATATGACTGAAATAATTCATAAAACACAGTGACAAGAACTACCCAAACATAGTCATTTAATGAATGTCCGTAAATAAAGAATTAAACTATATAATGAATCACCTGTATTGTTAACATCAGATTTCATAATTTAAACCCAAGAAGTGTTTTTTGGGGGATCTACAAACCCATGCTCAGGACATATACCAAAAACAGAACCCTAATAACATAATGATGCTACTTAAAATACCCCTGTATAGCATATCCCATAATATTACATTGTAAAACTAGATTATAGTAACAGTGGAATTGATAGAAGCATCATGTACGGTCTGTTTCTTGACTGATGTACCACTCCTAAATATGGGTTTAAGAGCCATACCTGCCCTGAATGGCTATGAGCCCCATCCTAGTTCACAATATGAATGCCTAACTTTGCACATATGTAATGAGCCATCCACAAAATGACTTCTCTGGACTAGCCTTAAAAATATAATTTCATACTTTGGAAAAAATAATGTACATATAGACAGGACATGAAGGTTGCTTAATGGTACGTTAAGGAATCGTTATTATTTCAGAATTTATGAAAAAGGGTAATTTCCAATAAGGAGAGACTTGAATTAGAAAGTGAAATTGGATGAAAAACAAACAAATATTAAATCAAGACAGTTGCAACACAAAAGACATTCATTACCTAAAATTACATTACATAAATGCAACGTTAAATCATTTTATACACTTGTGCAAATTACCAGCATTGCAAATTTTACAATGCTGATTATTTGCAACTTATAATACTATGGAGGAAAATATTCTGCTTCGATAGTCTAGTATTTTGAGTTATCTCTCGACTGTGAAGGAACGGCTCTCTCCTTGAAGACGACCTTCAATTAAAGAGCAGAATTAGCAACTTGACCAATTGTAAGTGGCAACAACTTTCAATGCTGGTATTACAAAAACCACCCGGGCTCACCTGCTTTTTCAATTTTCATACTGTGAGCTTTATTTTTTCTGCTGTGGTCGCTGTTGCCGGTTAGGTGGGTTGGGACGGTTCTGGGCGAGTCCACTGTACTGGTATTTGGCTTTTTTCTCTGATGGTTTTAAAATCTGTTGGTTGGAAAAAAAAATAAAAATTACCCGGTAAGTAGAACATCAATACAGTACAATATACCTGCTATCTTGGCCCTTTACTGTTACTTTCCATATTTGTTTTACACCACACACTTTCTCCCTCTCATGTAACTTCCAACTTTTCTTTCAAAATTTCTGTGCTCCTGCCACTTTCCATATTAGTCCTGCATCATTCTCTCTCTCAAATTATATCCAACTTTTCTTTTAAGACTTCTGTGTCCCTTAGTCTACCTCCAAAAGAAAATTGGGAGCAATATAAAGGTACATACATTTCCCAATTTCATAATACCAATATTTCACTTACTATCTCCATCACATATCTCAACTACATTATGGTATTAACTTAACATTGTTTCATGAATAACAAAATATTTTCTCTCCCTTCTTTCTTTACTTACCAGCTTTTAATTACAAGTACAGTATATACTATACAGCAAAGCCTCCGATAACAACGACCAACAACTTTTCAAATTTAAGACCCTAGTTAATTTAGGACCCAATTCAATATATGTCCTTATTTCATTCGTATTTATGACCAATATATAATAAAAATAAAATAAAATTAAATTTTCATATAACTAATAACTAAATCCATTTATGTATTATTAAAAAAAAAAAAAAAATTACTGTAAAAAAATGAAGAGCGCCTTGCGCAAAGAAGCTGCCTCGCTAATGAATGGTAATGCGCATCGCCAGTAAACAACAGTCGGAGCTTGGCGGTCCCATTGTTTTCACGCATCCGAACAGGAACAAGAGAAAAACTTTCTCAGGTTTCTCAAAGCGTTTTTGCATCCCTATTCAACATGAGCAAGAGAGCAAGTGATGGTAATGTTGTTTCAAAAGCTAATAGAAAGTGTAAAAGCTTAGCCGAGAAACTAGATGTGTTAAAACGATATGAAAGAGGTGAGAGGTCTGTAGAGATTATATGGAGCAAGCAATGACCATATTTTCTGATGTGGATCCATTACCAGAACAAAACATTAAAATTTAAATAAATGCATATGACCTCTACATGAAGATGTATAATGAGGAAAGGGAGCATCTGTGCAAGGTTCTTTCGACAGCTTTATTATTCGAAGGCCTAAACCATCAACTTCAGCTACACCATCAAATTCAGCATCATAAGCAGCTTTAACATCAACTTCAGGTTCAGTAACAGTTTCAGCAACAGCTTTATGGAAAACTACAGTTCAGCCAGAATTGAACCTGATGACTTGGTCATCTGAATAAAAACTCGCACAATATTCATTGGCTGTCCTTATGTTTTAGACTTTATCACCATTGGAGAGTAGAATTTTTGTTTTACATTCGTAAATATTATTTAAAACATACATGAACAGTAAATAAGTGTTGTTTTCATATTCATTTGTAGAGAAATGACGATATGTTTTCACATGTACGCACTTACTGTTCATACGTTGGCGTTCCCAATCGTCTCGCTTTATTTCTTTACCATTAGTAGTTCGCTACTTCTAGTGTTCCATTTATTAACATTAAATAACATTACTTAAAACATACTGTACATACAGGTACCGTATTTTTCGGCTTGGAAGAAGCTGCATCGTGGAAGACGCACCCTGATTTTGGAAATGAAATTCTAAAAAAAAAAATTACGGGTTTTAGCCCACCTGGGCACAGGTCACTGACCCACATTGGGTCCTAGGGGGCGAAAATGTAATAATAATAATAATAATAATAATAATAATAATAATAATAATAATAATAATAATAATAATAATAAAGAAATACAAAAATGAAAAAAAATATCAAGAGTGAGAAACAATATACAGTCGACCCTCGTTAATTCGGACCCCTTTAATCCGGATTTTGGATAATTCGGACAAAATCTGAACGAATTTCTTTTTCTTTTTTTTTTTTTTTTTATATAGATTTGTAGGAATATTACCTACGCGGACCTTAAGCTAAAATGCTGGTCCACCCACTGCTGGGATAAAACACCAGCGTCTTTTTGGTTAAATGTAACATCTCCACCACTAGTGTTGGGGGAGGATGCAACTTTTAGCTTCAGACATGAAAAATATTCACCATTTACTGCCAGTAAACAATGGAAACGTAAAATATGTACCAATTAGTTATGAAAAGTTGTGCAGTTCCTTCAGCAAATGAAGCTCACCAACTTACAATAGGCTAAATTACCTTACAATGTGTTTTCAGTAGTCTATGTTGAAGTTCTTAGCACAGGCTAACTTATCATATCATATACGGTATCACAGTTCTCATTGATCTACAAAAAATACCAGTGATAAAAACCTTTTCGATATTTCACATTTAATATACTACCCAGTAATCTACTTCAACCTCCTATTGTTTACAACGACGCATGACGCACCACCAGCTGTTGAGTATCGGCTAGAGCGCTAGACGGTACAAGTGTTTTTCGAATCGTTTTCAGTTAAAAAACTGTTACATCACAAGTATATTTTACCTTAACTGTGCCTGAATGAATATATTCTCGGAAATAAATAGTAGTTTTGCTGAAACGTGATGTATTTTAATGTAAAATAGGATAAAATACATGATGAAAACAAAAGATTTTACCTAACCTTCCGATGTTCAAGAGAAGTTACTCGTTTTTTTAATAGTTTTTGGTTAAAATACTGTTATATTACAATGATATTCTATTCATACTGTGCTTGATATAATGCATTACACGGAAATGTAATATTTTTGCTGAAATGACGTACGTATTACAGTGGAAAGTGGGATAAAATCGTGACGAAAACAATGACTTTGTAATCGCTTTTCGATTGGTTTTCAGTTAAAAAACTGTTGTATTACAATAATATTCTATCCTAATTGACTTGAATAAATACTACGATACCATATTTCTGAATATTTTCATTAAAATCCATCCAAATCATTTTCCTTGTCATCGTCTGCAGCACCTAGCAGCTTCTCCCAGTCCTCTCCTTGAACAGGGCTAGAGGGTACGTGTTTTTTGAATCGTTTTCAGTTAAAAAACTGTTACATCACATGTATATTTTACCTAAACTGCGCCTGAATGAATATAGTCTCGGAAATAAATAGTAGTTTTGCTGAAACTTGATGTATTTTAATGTAAAATAGGACAAAATACATGACGAAAACAAAAGATTTTACCTAACCTTCCGATGTTCAAGAGAAGTTACTCGTTTTTTTAATAGTTTTTAGTTAAAATACTGTTATATTACAATGGTATTCTATTCATACTGTGCTTGATATAATGCATTCACGGAAATGTAATATTTTTGCTGAAATGACGTACGTACTACAGTGGAAAGTGGGATAAAATCGTGACGAAAACAATGACTTTGAAATATAATGCAATATTAACCCCTAAATCGGTTAATTCGGACAATCGGCTAAAACAGACACCCTTCCCCCCCTATTAGTCCGAATTAACGAGGGTCGACTGTACCTGTATGTATGTTGTGTTGTCAAAGTAAGAGAAACCATTGAGACCCTGCAGAAAGTCAGATCATCAACCTGGGACTTGGTCACATAGGAGCAGGGTCTACCATTAGACAATACATTATGCTTCCAATATCTTCCCAGACGGTAGTACCTCCTTGTTTGGTACATTAGCTGCCTACTACCTACACCAGTGAAGCCGTTGCTTGATATACAGCCCTTTTGGCACAAGTACACACACCTCTTTGAATATCATCACTTAGAACTGCTTATCAGTCGTCATTTTCATCAATTTAAAAAAAAAATCTTTATAAGAAGGTGAAGTCTTTAATACAGCACTCATTTTATACACCTGGTCACCTCCACATCTTAGGGACTGTAGTGTTTACATTCTTTCTCTTGTTTTTGTCGGTATGACAACGACGGGAAATATTTTCCAACAGTAGAAGGTAAGCAAATGTAAACATGTATATCAACGTCTATATAAAACAAAAAATCTTTATTTAAAAACAAAATAAAAGTAAAGAAGCAACTCGTTTTTTGCAAAACTAGTGACTGATTGGTTCTACATAATTATAAAACTGAAGAAAATAAGTCCTCCATTGTAGCTGTATTAAAATTAATGTAGAAAAATTAATATGGTTGTTTTAAGTAATGTTATTTAATGTTAATAAATGGAACAATGGAAGTAGCTAACAATTAAGGGTAAAAAAAGTGAGATCGCGTATGTAAGTGCGCACACGTGTAAACATATCGTCATTACTCTACATAAGAATATGAAAGCAACACTTATATACTGGTCATATATGTTTTAATTAATGTTTCTGAATTTCTTTTTTATTGAATTATTGTTTGTGTGTGCAAACTGAACAATACAATTCATTAATAATACGAAGAATATTAAAACACATGAGACAAGACGTCATTGTTTTTGTTGTTTACAAAACCAGTGACTGATTGGATTTACATATAAAACTGAAGAAAATAAGACCCTGGTTGTAGCTGTCGTAAAATTAATATGGTTGTTTTTAGTAATGTTATTTAATGTTAATAAATGGAACAATGGAAGTAGCTAACAATTAAGAGTAAAAAAAGTGAGATCACGTATGTAAGTGAGCACATGTGTAAACTATCATCATTACTCTACATAAGAATATGAAAGCAACACTTATTTACTGTTCATATATATTTCAATTAATGTTTCTGAATTAAAAAAAAATTCTACCCACCAGTGGTAGTAAAGTTGAAAACACAAGGACAGCCAATGTTGTTGTGTGTGTGTTTTTACTTGGATGACGAAGTTATATTTGAATTTGGAAGATTTTAATTTTGTGGGGTTTTTACAGTCTAAATAGGTATCCAAATATGAGAGCCTACTGTAAATAGGTGTCCAAATATGAGAGCCTACATATAAAGAAACAAACATTCCTGCATTTGAGACCAGCAGACAACCTTTAGCAACTCCTCAATAGATGGCGCTGCCACACCACTGCCATTAGTAACAAACCACACAGCAGCAAGGGTTTATTATTTTTTTTTTGCAATATATCAACAATATTAGTTAA